CTGTTGCGAAGTTAAAACAGCGCTTTTCCGATTTACTGACATGGACGGCTAGAACTTTCGCCCCCGACCTCGTATCGCCATCCTCTTGTACAACACACGGTGCATGTCGCTTTTTTTTAAGAGAGAGAAAAAAACATTTACTGGGGACTTGTCTGGGGCTCCAACACGAATTAATTCGCAGTCTTCTCAGTTTCAGTTGGTTTCCGTTCAGACGGTTCGCAGTTGAGACGATATTTGCGCACTTTACTAATAACGTGTTTAGGATAAAACACAGGAGGGGAAGCGACTCCACTTGTGCGACATTTCATCCGACGCCCCGCGAAGCTGTTTATAATTAACTATCTGGTTTTATTTCTGATCCGGGATCTTTGACACGTTTGTCACGGGATCTGCGATGCAAGCATATTAAAAAATGAATTTAAGCTTTCCACACACAAAAAAAAATGCTTTTACCAACGTCCACAACTACCAGCAACAAAAATAACAATTACTGCGACCACTAACTGCACTCGAACATAAAATAATGCAAGGCGGAAGAAACTGCACTGTACCCTGCCTTTCATAGAAGCTGGAAATCGTTTTTTACTTTACAATTAGAACGAAATTGTCCGACATGAGTCCAGACCTTCTCGCTTTCACAAATATTATTATTCCAAATAATAATTACAATTCAAAAGGAAGAGTTCTAAAGTCTACGACATGATTATTATGAATTCGTATACAATTTAAAAACGACCCTCGTCGTATTCAAATACCAACATTTATACACTTTATACAATTCGTGGTATTTTAATTGTAATATGTATTTTCTTTCTGATATTTAAATCTCTTTCGCCTGGTTCCTGCAGCGACGTGCGGTTTCGGTCCGAGCGCTTTTCCCGGTGATTCTCGGCGGCGGAGCGCCGGGTTTCGGCGCAGTTCAAGTCGGCAGAGGTGTTCACAAGACAGGCGGCTTTTCGGTCCGCGGGGCGACGACTGCTTTTATTTCTAGAAACGCAGAAAGCGACGAGCTGTAAATATTTCATACAGCACCGAGGCTCTGGACGTAAGTGCGAGCAAAAAACGAGATCAGTAGTGAGACGGTCGCTCCGTTCCTAGATCAAATGTATTGTGCAAGTGTTGTTACTTCAGAACAGTTCGGGCTCCACGCGTTTGTTTGTTCGCTTGCCTGCTCTTGCTAGTTTTAACAACTCCACGAAAAACGGTTTCAGATTTGCAGCCAGCCCGCAAGTCGCCTCGTCCTCGACCAGGAGTGTGAGCGACACGGTGGGGAAAACAAAACGCGAAATAGCGCAGGCCTGGCGATTTCACTCGTGGGAGACTGCCCTGTTGGGAAATAAAGAGCTGCCCCGCAGGAGCAGGCCGGTTTTTTTTTGGGGGGGGGGGTAGACAGCAGAAGGACCGCAGGGGAGAGAGACACGGAGGACGCCGGTGTCAAACCCACGCAGCCGGTGCGCCTGGTGACCGCGCGGCCGCCCGCCTCGCCCCGTCCGGCACGCCGGGGCTCTCAAGTTCACTCCCGGCCCAGAAGCAGCAGGAACCCCAGAGGTAATTAAAACCCTTTGCTTCCTCGCTGCCCTAGCACGTGGGCTCCAAACGCACTTTTTTTAACTCCTGGTGCCTTCAGACGATTAAACAGTTGCCCGTGCAATTAGCCAGCCTTGTTTTTGTTTTTGTTTTTTTATTTGAACATGCCGAACCAGAGAAGGGCGCATCTAAATGATCGGTGTGCAACATTCCCTACTCCTGTCGTGTTTAAGACAGCGGTCCGGAGGACACAGGGGGGGCCAGAGGTGTCAGGCCGGCGGGGCAGTAGGACCCCTGCCCCTGTGCCCACGGCCTCCTGCTCGACCCCTGAGCAAGAATAAGCGCTTTCTTATTTCAGCTTCACAGCCGTGCGATTTTATCGGGGGTGACGTGGTGATTCTACCCAGATCTCCATCAGAAAGCTCATTTGAGCGCAAGAAGTGAATGTAATAATTTAGAAAAGAAGGATGCATCTGGAGATTATCAGCCTGATGGAAGATTAATAGCTTTCTCGTCGCCGATCTTTTGAAGAGCAGCAACTAGAAAGCGCCACTCGAAACACGGGGCTCCGTGACAAGACCCTTCGTGGGTAAACAAACGGAACCTGCTCCCCTTCACAAAAGAGAATCTGGACCTTATAAATGAAACGCTGTGATACAGAATAAACACGTGTGGGAGAGCGAGCCGTGGGGTGGTACGCAGGCCACACATCACACAGCCCAGGCTTGGTCTCTCTGTGGTGCAGAGCCTTGTGTTCAAGCGTTTAACTGCACTGTACATTGGAACAGCGTAACCTGGCGGTTTGTGTCGGTATTGCAACGTAGTCTCGCACCGAGCCCCGGGGCCTGCTCGGTTTGGAGATGGCGTTTTTATTTAGTATTAAAAAAACTGTTTAAATCGAGACTATACATTGAATTTAAGTCTTCCAATACGATCCAGCAGAGCAGACATCGCTCAGCGCTTAACCTTAACTGAAGCCTATGTTTTCTGGCTCCGTGATCTGCGGCGATTTAAAAGTTTCGTTTTCCTCACAAGTGTTCCTCGTCTTATTTGCACGTGTTCTCGGAATTGTCCCTTAGTGCTCCCGAATCCTTTATCTCAATTTGTTACACACACAACGCTGATCACTATATAATCACAACTCCGCGAGGAACTGCCCCTAGAGACAGTGTCCAAGACTCCCCACGACGACTTTGTGCGAAAATGTATTGAACTACTGTAAAACTAAGAGGTTTGAGAATCGGTGATTACATATGATCAGTTTATATAAAGTCATGGTCCTTTTCCAACCCCCGCCTTCTGAAGTGTTTCTCTATAGTCACAGACTTTAGTCAACGATTAATTCATGTCGTAAGTATTATTTAATAAATGTCCTCCTATATTAGAATTGGATCGATATATCTTCTATAGCAAGTCAACATAATTCATTATTTTACTGTTAAGAATGTTTTATAGATTAATAATAGGATGTTGACTTGATATAGAAATTCCATCAATCTAATTCTTATTATCAAATGTAAATTTTCAAAAAGTAGTTGCGACGTAATTTAATTGTTAACTGGAGGCTTCTGTGAATACAGATTTAACAAAAAAAAAACCTTTCCTAGCAATTCAGATAAGTTGAAAAGCTAAAAATAGAGGACCAGAAAATACGTTCGTATCCCCGTTGCTGAAAGTACAGAATTTAGCCGTGAAAACCTGAAAATGTCACAGCGAAGCGAAAGGGGAACAAGACGTGTTGATTTCTACTGACCCCGCTGCCCGACTGCAGCGACAGACAGCAGTTTCGAGTCGAAGGAGCGCGCAGCCCCTTGTCGCCGCACTGTCGCGCACAGCAGTGAAACACTGTCACTTCCTTGTGCAAAGTCAGGGATCCCAGCCAGTGGAACTGGGAAACGGCAGAAATTCCCCTCAGCTTCCCGATATGTTTCCCTTGAGATAGCTGTGCGACCTGTGGAGCACTGCAAGTACTCCAGTGTCACTGGAGGCTTCAGACTCTCGTTTCTTTTGAACTATGCATGGCTCACAAGTAGAAAGATAAATGACAGGGACGTGCTCGACTGAACCGTATTAGGACAGACCCGCGCTGCTCTCCCGGCGAGCGAGCTCTGCTCGAGCTCGGCGCCGGGACCCTGACTCGCCCTGAGGTCCGAGCCCGACCCGGGACCCGGCGGCAGGCAGAGCCGAACCGAGACGCGCACGGAGAGAAGCTTCTCCTTCTCTTTCCACTTCTCAGAGAGGAATTAACTCTCTACGGCTTCTTACTTTTCCCCCTCCGTTTCTTACACACTGTTTGCACTTCCACCGCGTTTCTTACACACTGACATGCTGTGTATCGGTCTAGGATTTTGTTTATAATCAATATCTTATCATTTCTGCTGACACGGGGCCCGATAACAAGAGTATTGTCATTTTAGAAACATTCCTATATCTTTCCATGCGTCTCTTATCTCCTATCTTTCAGACGCAATTCTAAAGAGCAAGAAAAAATGCTTTCGATCGATTTTCAGTGCTTTCAATTTTCAGGAGTAAAAAGCGACATTTTCGAGCCTTAACCTTATTCCGTCTTGTTTTCATGAAGGGCTTTACCGACATGGCCTTACATACTGGATTATGACAATTCCGTTTGCGCGGTTTAATGTGCGCTGAACCATTAGTGAAGAAGATGAGGCGTGTAATTGGATTTAATAAAAAAAAATAATATTGCCAGTTCCTTTTTAGAAGATTAGATCGAAAAACGGAAACGTATATATTTTTTAAATTTTCCAGAAAGTCGAGGCGACCTAATCGAGCAGTTACCGACTAATAAAATGGTGACTTACTGTAACTGGACAGTCATGCGATTTTAGCTGGAAACCGA